ATCAGTGGTCTTCTTGAATGAATTAAGTTCATTAGTGTAGGCTCCACGTATTGAGTTGTGGGTTGGAAACCAGTATTTTTTCCTTCTCTTTCGACAAGGTTTAATAAAACCAACAGCTAAACCAAGGAAAATACTACTTGTTTTTAGAATGAGTTAAAATATGACCCATAGGCCAAGTAATTCAAACCTAGCCACAGCAGAGGGCTCCAACCCAGTCCCAGCTCCTCAAGTGATTTCTAGGTCCCCTTATTCAGTCCTGACTTTGGGATCCCAGGTTTGGCTTCCCCAGATTTAAGAGTTAGGCTTGTTGCAGTGTCTGTGAGCTGCTGTCAGACAAAGCCTGCTTCTCCCTTGCTTTGAGGTGGATGAATATTTTGTTTCTTAGCACAGAAGAAACTAGCATATCACAGTCCTCTCTACTTGGCCACATCCTTGGGGCAGTTGGAGATCACATGGACGTGCCCAGGAGCAGCCAGCTGCTGGCCCCACAGCCTTTGTGTTTGTGCAGGAAAGGTCCTTCCTGGGAACTCAGGAGACTAGAAGTCACCCCACCCCCTCCCGGGTCTCTCCACCCTGCACTTCCTGGACTTGTCAATGGAGGGAGGGGGCAGGATCAGACTTCATGGGGATGCTGTAGGGGGTGGGCAGCCCCTTGCCTCTGTCTACCCCCACCTCTCTTCCCAGAGCTCTGTGTGTATATAGGCTGTGCTGGCATCTTAGGTCTAGGCAAGGAAAATCACGTTTGCTAATTTTTTTGAGACAGAGTCTTAAGCTGTTGCCCTGGGTAGAGTGCCGTGATGTCACAGCTCACAGCTACCTCAAACTCTTGGCGTTAAGCAATTCTTTTGCCTCAGTATCCTGAGTAGCTGGGACTACAGGCACCCTTCATAAGGCCCAGCTACTTTTTGGTGGTAGTTGTCATTGTTGTTTGGCAGGCCTGGGCTGGGTTTGAACTCGCCAGCTCTGGTGTATGTGGCTGGTGCCCTAGCTGCTTGAGCTACAGGCACTGAGCCACATTTGCTATTTTTAATCAGTGTTTTTAGATATGCACTTGTTAGCATAATCTTATGTATGTACATTTGGGGGAAGAAATGCCTGTGTACAGACATTTGGGAGGTAGATTAGGGAGAAAACTCATCCTTCCTTCTTTATATTATTATTATTTTGGAGAAGGAATTAGGTTAAAATAATAGTGGTGCCCTTAACTTACAGAAATATTTTAAAAAGAGTAGAAACGATAGAATGTGCCTGTTCTGGTCTGCTGTGTCTGGCCAGCATGTCCTGGGAAGGCCCCGGAACCCACACCTGGGCCCACACCACAGCAGTATGCTGAGGTGGTGATACCTGCTGTGTCACCTTGTTCACTTTGCACAGTGCTATCTTAGATCCTTCCTCACTCAGGATTAGTGAATATACATTAGACCAGCACAATGTGTTGGTGTTTTGTTTTTTGCTGAATAGGAGCAGGCTGGCTGGGCACACAATTTGGGTCTTGGCTGCCTTGACTTTTATGGTGATGCCATATCTCAAGGTGTAGTTGACCCAGACTAGCTCTGAAGTATTTCTGGGAAGACTGTCCCTATCATTTCTTCGGAGGGATTTGGCCTTCAGAAAAAGAAGCACTTTGCATAAGGAGGGCAGGACATGAACACAGGCATAGCAACTTCATGTCACTGCAGCCTCATGGGCCTGAGTCTCGGGGTGGGGCAGCCCACTGTGGCCAAGTGACTCTTCTCAGGTCTTCAAGGACGGGCAGTGAAGGTCATGTCAGGGGTTGAACAGGGAGTGGAGAACTGCCTCCAAATTTTTTTTTTAGCTCCTCCTGAGGCCCAAGAAGATGCACTTGCCCAAGGTAGAATCAGCCAATCTTAAGTTTGGAAACCCCAGAAAAATCCATCCAGTGGGTCCTTATCTCCCATCACACCTACAACTGGCCTCTGGCCGCTGAGGTTAATGGTGATACTAGGTCTAGAACCCAGGACTCCTTTTTAAGCAGGTCTAGGACAGAGTTCAGGGAGACTGGCAGGTCAGAAGAGAAAAGGGCAGGACTGAAGGGTCAGTGGGGATAAAGGCCCATGGGGGAGCGTTTTGGGGAGTTCAGGGACCTAGTGGCAGGAGGAGTGTGCCTGGACCTCAAGTCTGTGCATGGACCACACTGAGATGAATGAACTCATCTTTGTGTTGTATCAGCTTTGTGATGAACAAGCCCACTTGATGATGTGAAGAAAGTATCATTTACTTTTTCCTGCAAGACTACCTGACAGAGAAGTTGACAGGGGTGGTCTGGAAGCCTTTCGAGGGCTTGGAATGTGAGGCTGCCCGACCTAGTAGCACCAGTGGAACCATCCTAGGTTAGAGTTGCCAGGCCCTACAACTGCCCCCCTGAAACATGTGTGGTGGGGATGGCGCAGGAGGTGGGAGGATAGCACTGGATCCCATTGCACATTGAAGGTGTTAAAGACAGAGTCACAGAAGTTTCTGAGAGGCTGGAGCCTGGCCTGCTCTCAGACCGAGAGTTGTGGCTTTGGGTCCCAGTCATAGGCTCCATGTTGTTTGATTCGCTGTCCTAGACCATCCCGAGAGGCAGGTGAAGTCAAAGCCAATGGAGGTACCTGCATCGATGTGTGTCCCAGGCCCTGTGACATTTGGTGGGGACGTCCTAGTTTGGGAGCTGGGGTCTGGCTGAGGCAATGGGCTTCCCCTTGCTGGCCTTCAGCCTGGGGCAAGAGCAGGGAACTCTCAACTCCCAGGAAGCTGTGGCCACCTTGGACACCCGGCTTCTGCTCCCAGCACAGAGCATTGCTGAATAGTTTGGGGATGAGGTAGAAAAAGGCCCTGAAGTTCACACATCTACTCTTTCTTTCTTTCTTTCTTTCTTTCTTTCTTTCTTTCTTTCTTTCTTTCTTTCTTTCTTTCTTTCTTTCCTTCCTTCCTTCCTTCCTTCCTTCCTTCCTTCCTTCCTTCCTTCCTTCCTTCCTTCCTTCTTTCTCCTTGTTACAAAGAAACC